GGAGGTCCTGGCGAGGACAGGGTTCAGCCGCAGCCGCAGCAGAAGCAGAAACAGCAGCTGTCGCCGCAGCAGCAACCGTCGCCGCAGCAGCAACCGTCGCCGTAGCCCGAGCAGCCACAGTCTTGCTCCAGGTTCCCCTGTCCGCCAGCTCGTTTCCCCCGCTGGTGCGTGACCCTGTTTACGATCCGCTGTTCCCTCCTCCGGACTCCTCTTCGGCTCATTTCCCCCCGCGCTCCCCTCCGTCCCCTGCCTTGTCCCCCGTTCCCCCTCGTCCCAAGTTCTTCCCCACTGGGTCCGTCGCCCCTCTAGTGGTCGTCCTTTCTCCCCCAATCGAAGTGTCCACCCTATGGTCCTCCGTTAGCGTGCTCCTCCAGTACCCGTGCTTCCGTTACCTCCTTCGTCGCCGCTCCTGCAGTCCCCCCTCCCTCGCTTTGACGCTGCTCTCACTGCTCGTCCTACCCTCTTGCACTTGCTTGCGTCGCTTGTCACTGACCCTTCTGCTCCTCCTGATTCTGTCACTGCGCTTGTCCCTGCTGTCCGTCCGTCAAGGGTGCACCTACCCTTGGCAGTGACGTGCTAGAGGACAGGCAGTACGAGTTGGCCTACCTTGCTGCCGGTGTTCCCCATCTCTGCTCCATGCTTGTATCCCCAGAGGGCGACCGAGATGCTCTCGATATACGTTGAGGCAGTGTCAGGGCCCTGGGTAGCCTAGTGGATACAGACCATGGAGGCTGAGATGGCATCCTACAGATCCACAGGCACTTACGTCGACGTAATTCCCCCGCCTGGGGCGAACATAGTCGATGACATGTGGATCTACAGGGTGAAGCGTGCACCCGGAGAGTTCCTGAAGTTCATGGTGCATTACGTGGCTAGAGGCAATAAGCGTGAGGGTGTGGACTTCTTCCATACCTTCTCCTCGACCCCGAAGATGACTACATTTCGGGTCCTCCACATAGCCGTACAGCGTGACTACGAGCTTCACTTACTCGACTTCTCCACAACATTCCTACAGGGTAGTCTGCACGAGCAGATCTACCTCCGGCGCCCTCTAGGCTTCTCTGGTTCCTTCCCACCTTGGACCGAGTGGAGCCTGCATCGTCCTGTTTACGGCCTTCGTCAGCCACCCTGTGAGTGGCACGACACGTTTTGCACCACTCTTACTAAGTTGTAGTTCTTTCCGTCCTCTGCTAACCCCTCTCTCTTTGTTCGCATGGGTCAGACACTGTACTACATCATAGTGTACGTAGATGATCTTATCTTTGCTACCCCTGACAGAGTCGCACTGGCCTCAGTGAAGGTCGAGTTATTTAGGAAACACACCTGTACAGACTTGGGGGAGATGAGGCACTATCTGGGCTTGGAGATCTCTCGTGACCGCGCTGCTCGCATGATCACACTCTCTCAGTCTCATATGGTGCGGCAGATCCTCTAGAGGTTAAGTCTCCAATTCTCCTCAGCACAACCCACCCCTCTGCCGGTGGATCACAAGCTCTCAGCTCTTGTTTCAGCCGAGCCAGTCGAGGCTAGTGATCCATACGCAGAACGGGTTGGGTGCCTTATGTACCTGATGACCTGTAGTCGACCGGATCTAGCGTACCCTTTTAGTCTCCTGGCTCGCTTTGTCGTGACAGGCAGGCACCGAACAGTTCACTGGTCGGCTGCCAAGAGGGTATTGTGGTATCTGGCGAGTACATCAGGACTGGGGCTTGTGCTAGGAGGACGGGACCAGTGGTGCTCACTGGACACACAAACACGTTGTGGGCCGACGACTTGGAGACGCTCAGGTCGTCTCAGGGCTACTGATTTAGTCTTGGTGCTGGTGCAGTCTCGTAAAGGTCCACCAGTTGTGAGGCAGAGATCTACGTTGAGGCCATGGTTGCTCAGGAGCTCCGCTGGCTGCCATTCTTGCTCGACTTAGGTGAGCAGCCTAGGTCTGCCCCGATCCTGTTTATTGATAACAGGGTCATGATCCTTCTGTGTCAGGAGGCTCGACTTGCAGGGCGAAGCACATCCAGCTGCGGTAGTTCTTGTTGCGTGAGTTGCAGCAGCGTAGTCAGGTTCGTGTAGTACAGTTGGCCTTAGAGGCCAACACCGCTGATATCTTTACGAAAGCACTTGCGCCTCGTGACCATCAGCGGTTTTGTAGTCAGCTTGGTCTAGCCTCAGTAGCAACACCACTTCTTGTATCGTGAGTCATACTATACCTGCTTGTACTTGTTGTTCTATGCCTGCTTGTCTTGCTAGCCTTGTGGCCTCTTGTCTCAGTGGTCAGACTAGTAGTGCTGCCCTGGGTTTTCTTATTACACTAGTAATAATTCCCTGGTGTACTTTTCTTTGTTATGAACTGCCACTATCTCGGATAGGGGGTGTGTCAACAAATATAGTTATCTAGGCTAGCTAGTTTATATTTGTTATAGCATTAGTTAGGTCAGTTCTTAGAGGGTACCGTCCTACCTGTGTAACCCACGACATTTTCCCTTGGCTCTACCACTCTCTCGACAGTCCAACAGGGGGCACATGGGCTTAGCCGGAATCGTCCAGCCGAACCATGATCCCCACCCTGCGATTATCACAACCCTGCGACAATCACTACAGCGAACACGCGCCGTCCCACCGAAGTGGAAAACCAACCGCAACCGCTATACCTCATGCGTGAAAATTGGAGACACGAAACGGAACAAGAAAGCGTAGGGGCTTCATAGCCACACGCCATGTGCACGGAATAGCGAGACCCCTGAGACCGTATACGGTGAAATTCGCGCACTAAAAAAACAAAAGGAGAGAGCACTGTCTCCCCATCATAGCGAAGTGACGCACAGACGAGCACAAAAGGAAACACCCGTGCAGGGCCCAGCAGCAACACCAGAGCACACTAACAGGTGCGGATTTGGGCATCAAGAGTTTAGCACGAGATACTTATAAACCACATTCGCTAGGGCCGCGATATGGAGCTCAAGAAGGGGAGCTAAAAGCAGCAAAGAGGCCAACCAATCGAGGATGTGGAGTGAGCCCAGACGTCACGCGGATGTGCGCCATTTCGTTGGTGCACATCACATTGCCAGGAGCATTATGAAGGCAAGCGCCAGTGAGCACACATATCTCCAGGCTCCGCGAAAGCACACTACCGCCCAAGGCAGAAGCTGGGCCTAGGGTAAAACAAAGCACACTCCCTATTGTTGGTGGGGCACTGGGATCGTCCTACTGTTGAGTGTGGGAGGGCTACAGGTACGTCCTGGGGGGTAATGGGTGCGCTACCCACCTCGACAACATGCCCTTTTAACCCAGTCGGTAGCGGGCTGGGCCAACAGTGGTATCAGAGCCTGGAAGGTCCTGGGTTCGAATCTCAGTGTGCGCAGAGGAGGCGCCGGGTGCCCAAACAGTCCCAGTGAGGGGGAGATGACCCGAGTGAGGGGGAGATTGTTGGTGGGGCACTGGGATCGTACTACAGTTGAGTGTGGGAGGGCTACAGGTCCGTCCTGAGGGGTAATGGGTGTGCTACCCACCACAACAACATGCCCTTTTAACCCAGTCGGTAGCGGGCTCGGCCAACATGACCCAGTGGTAAACCTGCTCCACTCGAAGGCGTGCCAACCACCCTATTTCGAAACCTCCCTCGGCGTGAACGCCGGAGCTCTGAATGCCTTTGCTCTGAGCGCTAGAGCTGCACACCCTTCCCCCTTTCCCCCCCCCTCCATCCCAAAAGGGGCACCCCCTCCATCATGCCTCAAGTTTTTCCCTTATTCCCCTCTGAGGCGCGATCCCTCTCCCCTCCGTTTAATCTCCACATCCACACCCATCCATGCGCCCCAACGCCTCCCCCTCCCCCCACACGCCCTTGCTCCCTGTCCTCTTGACCTCCTTGCTTACCCCTCTCTCCCACCTTCCCTCTCCCATGTTTGCCCCCCCTCTGCTTCCCCAACCTCCTCCTGCGCTTATCTCACCTTAGCCCCATCCGCTTTGTTTCTCCACTACAACTCCCCCCTCTGCACCCTCGTTCCCTCCACTCTGCCCTACCAAGGATTGAGCCCCTGGATTTCACAACACCCCTGGATTGTTTGAAAATTCTAATAAACCTATCACAGTACCAGTAGAATCTTGGTCTCAGCAAGTCCGACACTCGCGATTGCAATGATCAGGGAGCTTCGCAGCGTGAAGCCGGCTCGTTATGAAAAGTGAATAACATGAAGTTTCAGTTGAAGCCTGCTCGCTGTGACGAGGACTTAAAGTAGCCTGACAAAAAGATTCCCTAGTGCGTGCTGGATCAGGATCGGTATGTCCTGGGGGTAGAAAAAGAAGCGGCCAGGTTGCTAGAGCTGAGAGGCTATCTCGACATTGACCTGCAGAAGCCAAACGGCTGCTCCGGCTGAGATGAGATTTTTTGAGAAATTTTAAAATCTAAATGGCTGGCGGGATTCTATAATCGGCTCGCTGCAGCTCTCCATACACTGAGCTGCCGTCAATACGGACCAGGAAAGGAGTTGTTAGGGAAATCTTTCGACGGTAAGACGAGATTCCAAGACACATACGGAATTTCTACGAAATGTGCTGGAATTCGACGCGCCCAGGCAGCAAATGGCAATGAATTCCTGACTTAGTCTACTAGAGAAACCTGGTCAGCAACTAAGGCTTTTAGGTGCAGGGGTGCTTAGGTTTCTGACTACGACAAAAATGAAAACGGAATTGAAACTGAGAGGGAATCTGACCAAAACGCACTAGGTGACAGGGCTGACAGGGCTGACGGGGCTGCCAGCACGATGAAATCTAGGGAGGGTCAAACGTTGGCGAGCGTACGGCGAAGGCTTGTAACTTTGGCGACAACCCCAGCGAAGCGATGTTAGGCAGCGACGAAATCGACTCTCGTAAGCGAAGCCAAGTCGCATTTATCAAAAGGAGTCGTTGACGCCATTGCGAGATTCGGTAGCATTCGGGGGAGGGGGAAGGATGGGGAATCCCGAAGGCATTCAGGACAAGCGGGAACTTCAGAAATGGCGGAACCATCTTTCCTCTCTTCTGCTAATCCCAATGCCAGTTTTCTCATTGCTCCTCTTACCTATGGACCAGATTCGATGCACAGTACCAGCTACCCATACTAGGACCCTCCACTGAAGCTTATCCAGCCATTTCAACACACACACATCGTCGTCCGTTGCGCTGCTTCTCCTGATGCATTTTTCCTCTACGATCGTCCAGATTCTTCGCTCCGACCATCATGAATCCGGTTAAACATCGTATCTCTTTCCGACTCATCGTACTCTTCTCGTTACTTTCCTCGTTAAAGGCGGATTCGGTTGCATCCTTATCATCCTACTCTTCTACGCACAACAGCATTGTTCCTCGTTCTACCAATGCAGCCACGCCGGAACCTACAATCCAAAACCTTCCAGATCTGGATATAACCGCCTCCTCATCCTCCTCTGCTATACCCGATAGTAGCGATCTCCATTCGGCTAAGGTCGCCACGTCGGAACCCGCATTGCGGAGCCTCCTGTTTTTGCGTGGAAATGTCTTCAACCAGGCCCTCCGCCAATCAGCAACCGCCACGCAGTTCACCAGCAGAGTCGGTACTACCGATGACGGTGCTGCTAGCGGTGGTGCTGCCAACGGTGCTGTTGCTAACGGTGCTGCTAATGGTGGTGTTAACATTGTTGCTGCTACCGCTGGTGCTGATGCTGCCGACGGTGACTCTAAAGGGGGAAGGACTGTTGAGCTCAGGAGTCGGCTTGACACTGCCTTGGAGGGAACGAGTGAGGTTGTGATGGATGACGATGAGGAGGGGGGGGAGGGGGGAGGTAGGGAAGAAGCAGAGGCAGGGGGGGTTGAGGAGAGGGAGAAGGAGGGGGGAAATAGAAAGGAAGCAGCTCCAGAGGGCGATGACGAGGGGGAGGACGGGGGAGATAGGAAAGAAGCAGAGCGGGGGGGGGATTCAGCGGACGATGGGGGGAGCGATCATGACAAGGCCAACATTGGGGATGGGGGGGAGAATGGGGAAGCGGAGGATTCAGAGGGGGGAGTGGAGGGGGAGGAGGGGGAGGCGGAGGAGGAAGCAGAAGAAGAAAAAGCAGAAGCGGAAGAAGGGACGTCGACACCTCTGGCGGACACTCCTGAAAAGCTGGCCTCGTGGTTCCAATCCTGGCGGAAAAACACCAGCGCGCTTATCCCACCGGGCTTTAAAGACGCCTCGACTATGGAAATTTTAGAACTAAACGATTGGCCCCCTGTACCCATGCCTTTGCCGAACCTAGGGGAGGACGTTCGGGTGGATCCGAGCCTGGATCCGAATGCCTGGCGTCCGTTTCACGTTAAGGGAACACCGCGTATGATCACAGTGTTCTCTGCGGAATGCTCCTCTTATATGGATTGGCAGTCAGTGGCAATGGCTTATAGCTTCAAACGATCCGGGCAGCCAGGGAAGCTGGTGCGACTTCTGGCTTGTAACGAGGATGCTCTTAAGGGGTACAGAGGCCTGGACATTGCTCCTACCATGGTGGTGCCTAATTGGAACCGGGGTCCTCGGACTGGAGACTGGTAAGCTGACCGAATGTTGTTTCAATCGTTTTCCAAAGCTCTTGATCCCCTGGTAGGGTCAAGTCTGCCACTCATTATCTCAAACCCTTCTTCCCCCTCACCCCTTCCTCCCCCCACCCACCCCTCTTCTGTCATCCTCACAGGTACCCTGCGATCAATAAGCCAGTGGGGGTGAAATATTGGCTGGATAATAGCCCTGACGCTAACGAAGTCGAGTGGGTGCTTATAATGGACGCGGATCAGCTTATAAGGAGGCCGGTGCTGCCCTGGGAGTTGGGGGCGGAAAGAGGGCACCCAGTGTCAGCGAATTACGGGTGAGAGATGGTAACCGTGTTACGTTAAGAATGCCACCTATTGGTAAATGGTCGTGTCTTTCCCGTGACGTGCTGTGCTCTCGGCTCCTCTTGTGCCTCCTCTTTAGCCTCCTGTGTTTTCTCTGCTTGATCCGTCCCTGCTCCTCCTCCCTCCTTTCTCCTCCGACTGCCTTCCCTCCTGCCCACCAGCCACCACAAGGGTGTGACAACAGCCTTGGCGAGCTACAAAGGAAGAGCCCATCTTTCCTCTGCCGTTCCTTTTCCCCTGTGTCGCCCCGTACTCTCTTCCCCCGTCCCTCCTCCCTCCTCCTCCCTCCCTCCTCCCTCCTCCTCCCTCCTCCTCCCTCCTCCTCCCTCCCTCCTCCCCACCAGCTACCTGAAAGGGTGTGACAACAGCTTTGGCGAGCTACATAGGAAGAACCCATTTTCCCTCTGCCATTCCTTTCCCCGTGTGTCGCCCCCTTCCGTCCCCTCTCCCCCCTCCCTCCCTCCTCCCTCCCTCCTCCCCACCAGCTACCTCAAAGGGTGTGACAACAGCTTTGGCGAGCTGCATATGAAAAATGCCACCTACTGTGATAAGGTAATTCAAGCAGTCTGGTACTAGTACTTCCTGGTGCTTTCTGGTACTTTCTGCACTGGTACTTTCTGTACTGGTACTTTCTGCACTGGTACTTTCTGTACTGGTACTTTCTGCACTGATACTTTCTGCACTGGTACTTTCTGTATCGCCCCTTTCTTGTTGTTTCATACCTGACCAAGCATCCCTCCTCGACATTCCTTCCTCCCACCTAATTTCTCTCCCATACTCACTCACACAGGTCGGCGGCTACATTGTGACGCCCAGAGAGGATCTGAGGTGACTTCTGAGTCGACTCAAGAGTCACGGCGGCTACATCGTGATGCACATAAAGGATCTGAGGCGGCAGACGAGTAGCACTACACCATCAACGCCACTCTCTCCCCTTTATCTCTCTCCCTTTCTCTCTTGCTTCCTTCTGAGCTCTCATCCCCGCCCACACGCGCACACCCACATGGGTGGGCAGCTACATCGTGATGCACATAGACGATCTTAGGCAGCAGAAGTGAGCGCTACACCATCAACGCCATGGGGGACATCCACACAACACAATCACACTCTCTCCCCTCTTCTGTGCACCCTAACCGTACTCAGCTGGGCGGCTACATCGTGATGCACATAGAGGACCTATGTCATCTGGCCCGCATATGGACTGACAATAGCGGGCGTGGAGCACTGCACCATCAACGCCACACACCCATGCCCTCCCCCTCTCCCCCCTTCTCTGCACCCGAACCCTGCTCAGGTTGGAGGCTACATCGTGATGCACATAGAGGACCTACGTCGCCTGGCGCCCATATGGAGTTCAAAGAGCGAGGAGGTGCGGGCGGACGTGGAGCACTACACCATCAACGCCACGGGGGACATCCACGGGCAGCGATGGATCAGCGAGATGTACGGCTACTCCTTCGGCTCCTCCGATGTGAGTCCCCGCTAGTGGTCCTTGCTGGTACCTCGGTCATCAGCAACTTCACCTCACCATTTTCACCAACCATTTCTCTCTTCCCCCCCTTCAGGTGGGCCTAAAGCACATCATGATCGACAGTGCCATGATCTCCCCTCCGTACCCATTTCTCCACTCCTTTGCTATTGATTTCCTCCCCCCCCTCTCTCCAGGTGGGCCTAAAGCGCATCATGGTCAATAGCGCCATGCTTTACCACGGCTACGATCCCCCTATCGGGATAGACCCTAGAATGATCCACAACGGCCTAGAGCTAAAGGTGCTGGAATGGCAATCGGACAAAGTCGGGGTATTACTGCCCCAATATATGGACAACACGTGCGGGCAGCATGCATTGGCTGTATGCTTTATCCAGTCTGACCAGCTTATCCATGCTTTCCCCTCGTTATAATACCTTTCCTTTCCCCTTTCCCCTTTCTTCCCTTCCTCAGGTGGGCCTAAAGCACATCATGATCGATAGCGCCATGCTTTACCCCGGCTATGACCCGCCTATCGGGGTAGACCCCCGGATGATCCACTACGGCCTAGAGCTCAAGGTTTTAGACTGGCAGTGGGACAAGTCAGGCTTCTACCGCCAAGACATGGTCAACACCTGCGGGCAGCATTTCCCCGACCCGCCCGATATTTCCGCGCTGCCCGACAATCAAACGTATGAGGAGCGGCGGCGGGATTTCATCGTGATTGAGTGTATGGCTGTGCTGAACCGGGCTTTAAGGGAGTTTCATAGGCAGAAGAGGGGGTGTTTTGTGGAGGGGGAGAGGGATGTGGGGTTGATGGATCTGGGTGGGGCGTCACCAACAGTAACAGGGGAGCTGAGGGCGGATGTTTGGGCTAGGGAGAGAGGGAAGGAAGTGGGGATAGTGAGAGAGGTGAGAGAGACGAGTGGATCTGGAAAGAGGATTAGAGTGCAGGGTGACTATGTGGTGGATGTGAGTGAAATGACGGAGAGAGCTGGGCTGGAGAGAGGGTTGCTAGTGGTGAGAGAACCGAGAGAGGGTGTAAGGGTAAGGAAGGCGGGAGGGAAGGGTGGAGCTGGGGAGGGGGAGGAGAAGATTCCTTCGGATGAGGATAGTGTTGCTTATGCTGGTTCAGCCACAAACGAGGATGAAGGTGGGGATGGGGAAGCAGGGGATGGGGGGGAAGGGGAGGAGGAGGAGGTGGATAAACCAGAAGCGGGAGACGCAAGGGAGCTGCTAGAGGGAAGGGATGGGCAGGGTGAGCTTGGTGGGAAAGAGGGTAACCGCACGAGAGCGGTTACACCGGTAGGTACACTACCAGGTACACCAGCAGTTACACTTACCCGAGAGAATAAAGGGATGGGAGATCTACAAGGGTCGGAAGTGCGGGTAACAAGTGGGGAATACCCAAGAGAAGGGGCGGCAGGAGTGTGGGCGTGGCTGTGGGAAGAGAAGAGGTGGATGTACCTGGTGTGGCTGGCCGGCATGGTGCTACTGTTCATGGGTGTTACATACCGCGCCAGGAGGCAACGGCGACATGCAAGGTCGATAAATTCTAATTTGCCCATTGTAACTGCCTCCGGTGGCGGAGTGGAGGATGCGGGGGAGGGTGGTTTGAGGAAACCAAAACGCCGTGCTGGGGGATTGTCGAAAGATGTGGTTGTATGACGATGTGTCTGTCTAGTACAGCTTCGGCTTTGCAGAGACAAAAACTTATTGCCACCAACATAGGAGTGTTTATCAGAAATTCAAGTGACGGATGATAGAGAGAGAGTACACACAATATAGCTAAGTGTTGTACCCTGTAAGAGGCTACCCTATACAGTCTATACAAATATAACAAATAGACATGTTTGACACACCCCCTAGACTGCATAGGGGAAAGTCCTAAACAAACAGCTCAGGGCGGCACTACTAGTCCAACCTCTGAGACAAGGGTCTGAGCGACCAGTCAGAAGGAGTACAGACAAGGCAAGCACAAGAACATGGCGGCACTACTAGTCCAGCCACTGGGAGAGGACACAAGTCCAGTCTGAGTATACATATAAAGGACAGTACAAAGTCAAGGTCCTAGCAAGTAAGAGGCGACAGGAACTAGACCAAGCTGTACACAGTGCCGCTGATGATCTTTAGGCGCAAGCGCCTTCGTAAAGATATCAGCCGTGTTGGCACCTGAGGCCAAGTGTACTACGCGAGCCTGACGTCGCTGCTGTAGCTCACGCAGGAGGAAGTACCGCAGCTGAATGTGCTTCGCTCTGCCCTCGAGTCGAGGCTCCTGACACAGGAGGATCATGGCCCGGTTGTCAGCGAACAGGACCGGGGCAGAGCTAGGCCGCTCACCTAAGCCAGTGAGCAAGAAGGTCAGCCAGCGGAGCTCCTGTGCCGCCATGGCACCGGCGTAGATCTCAGCCTCACAGCTGGACTGTGCAACAGACGAGGAGCGAGTAGCTCTCCACGAGACGGCACCTGAGCCAAGGCTGAAGCAGTAGCCCTGGGTAGACCGGAGTGTCTCAGCGTCGTCTGCCCACGAAGCGTCTGTGTGCCCAGTAAGGACCACTGGCCTGCGTCCTCCTAGCACTAACCCCATGCCCGATGTACTAGCAAGATAACGCAGAACCCTCTTAGCGGCAGACCAGTGCTGCGGTCGGTGTCTGCCTGTGGCCACAAAGCGAGCCAGGATGCTGAGAGGGTATGCAAGATCTGGGCGAGTGCAAGTCATCAGGTACATGAGGCAACCCACCAGCTCTGCGTAGGGGCCGCTGGGCTCTACCAACTCCTCAGGCACTGGAGCGGAGAGCCTGTGGTCTACAGGCAGAGGGGTGGGCTGTGCAGAGGAGAACTGAAGGCTGAACCTCTGAAGGACCTGGCGCACCAAGTGTGACTGAGTCAGGGTGATGGTGCGCGCAGCTCTGTCCCTGGAGATCTGCAAGCCAAGGTAACGGCGCAGTTCTCCAAGGTCAGTGCACGTGTGTCTCTTCAGCAGCTCTGCCTTCACGGAGGCCAGCGCGTCACTGTCTGCTATGGCAAAGACCAGGTCGTCGACGTAAACGAGGATGTAGAACGGAGTCTGGCCAGCACGAACGAAGAGTGAAGGGTCTGCAGAAGACGGAAAGAACTGCAGGTCAGCAAGCGTAGCACAAAGAGTGTCGTGCCACTCACGGGGAGCCTGGCGCAGGCCGTAGACGGGGCGCCGCAGGAGCCACTGGGTCCCAGGAGGGAAGGTGCCAGTAAAGCCCGGAGGGCGGCGCAGGTAGACCTGCTCGTGTAGGCTGCCCTGAAGGAAGGCAGTGGAGAAGTCGAGGGAGTGAAGCTCGTAGTCGCGCTGAGCAGCTAGGTGTAACAGAACGCGAAGAGTAGTCATCTTCGGGGTCGGAACGAAAGTCTGGAAGAAGTCCACCCCCTCGCGCTGACTGAAGCCTCTAGCCACATAGCGCGCCTTGAAGACAGGCGGCTCTCTAGGAGGGCGCTTCACCTTGAAGAGCCAGCGGCCATCGACTACGTTCACCCCAGGTGGGGGAACTGCGTCGACGAAGGTGCCGGTGGATCTCCAAGATGCCATCTCCTGCTCCATGGCAGCTATCCACTGTGAGGCCCAGGGTCCCGAAGTCGCCTCAGCGTAAGTGCGAGGGGTCGGGATGTCGAAAGCGTCTGGGTCACCCTCAGGGACTAGCAGCATGGAGCAGAGATGGGGAGCAGCCTCGGACAGGAAAGCAAGCTCGAACTGGCGGTCCTCCAGGACGTCATTGCCAAGGGCAGGAGCACCCCCGACAGACGGAGGACAGGCAGGGTCAGAGACCAGAGCGGTGGCGTAGTCAAGGCGGCGGGTAGAGGCGAAGTCAGCGACAGCAGCGACAAGAGCGTCAAGGCAGGAGACCGGAACAGACGGGTCGGTAACGAGAGAGGCAAGGACCCGAGGAACAAGAGGACGAGCGGCACGAAGGTAGTCGGACAGCGGGGGGGGCGCAACAACAAGGGAGGACGGAGGAGGCGACGGCAGAAGGGGAGGACGAGACGCGTGTGAACGAAGCAACATAGGGTGGGAGCGCAGGACAGGCGAGGCAGGACGAGCACGGGAGGGACGGTGAGACCAGACGTGGGACGGAGGAGTCGGGTCAGGAGACAGGGGAGGGGACACAGGAGGGGAACGAGGGGGGAGACGGGCCGGGGACGAGTCTGGCGGAGGGAAAACAGGGCCGTAGACAGGAAGAGGAGGAGACGGTCAGGGAGGAACCGACGCAGGGTCGGGAGACGGAAGGCCGAGCAGGCGAAGGGCGGACACCGGTGGGGACGGCTGCTGCGGCGGCATAACGGCGACACCTGGACCGCAAGCTGCTCCTCGGCTACCACCGGCACTCTCCACACCCGCACCCCCAGAGGGACCACCCTCAGGGCGACCGGGACGAGCACCCCCAGAGTCAGCGAACGGGGGCTGCGACGGCGGCGGCGGCGGCGACGGGTGCAGCGGCGGCAGGGGCGGCGGAGGAGGGGACTGGGGAGGGGACACCTGGGGAGGGGCGGCCGGCGAGGACTGCACCGGAGGGCCACCGGAGTCAGAAGACTCCTCAACCGGGTCCACGGACGGAAGGGGGGTGACGTGGGAGACACCAGAGGGGGCGGGACAGGGAGGAGGAGGAGGAGGGGCAGGGACTACCGGGGAAGAGGTGACCAGGAACAGGGGGGGGGTAACCGGGGGACCACGGTGGGGGAAACAGCGGTAGTAGGAGACGGACTCGTCAAAGGTGACGTCACGAGAGTGAAAGAACCGGTGAGACGGCGGGTGGTAAAAGTGCCAGTCGGACGCGTCAAGGGGAAAGCCGAGGAAGACGCAGGGAAGGGTGCGGGCAGTGAGCTTGTCCGTGCCGGAGGCACGGACGTGAGCAAGGCAGCCCCAGACGTGGAACGCAGACGCGTCACCAGGAGACCCAGTCCACAGACGGGTCGGCGAAACCTGCGGCTGCTGAGGGTGCGGCCACAGGTTAAGCTGGTGAGAAGCGTAGCGCACAGTGAACGGCCACAGAAAATGGGGTGCACCGGCATGGACCATGGAGGTGCGAGCGACCTCCATGACCAAACCGATGCGTCGCTCAGCGACCCCATTCTGCTGTGGGGAGTCCGGTAGGGTGAACGTCTGGGTGATGCCCTCCGCACGACAAAAGCGACCAAGGACACCTGAGGCAAACTCGCCACCACGGTCTGAGTGGAGACGCAAGACAGGGAGACCGCGGTGGACACGCGCAGAGACAAGCCAGGGGATGAGGGCGCCAGGCACGTCGGCCTTGCGCTCCAGGGGAAAGACTGTGGTGTAACGAGTGAAGTCGTCGACAAGCACAAGGAAGTAGCGCTCGCGACGCGGCCCAGGGACGGGGGCGGGGCCCCAGACGTCCAGGTGCAGGGTCTGCAGCGGCGCGGCGGTAGGGGGGAACGAGGAGGAGTGAGGGGCACGACGAAGCCGACCCTCGACACAAGGCGTGCAAGGTGGAGGTGGGGAGGAGGGAAACGCGGGGAGGGAACCTGGGAGACCAAGGACAAGACCGTGCTGGGACATGTGACGCAGACGCGGGAGCGCAGGGTGACCTAGGCGGTGGTGCCACAGGAGGGTCGGGTGAGTGAGGGAGCGACAGGAGCAGGCAGCAGCAACCTGGGTAGACACAGCCACCTGAGGGGGGGCTCCAGCCGGGGGGGGCACGGTGTCCAGAGTGAACAGGCCGGACACCGGGTCCCGGGGGAACGTGGACAGGGGGGCACCAGTGGCGGCCTCAGTACAGACAGCATACCGCTCGTGACCAGGGAACGTAGTGGTGACGCCAAGGTCCTGGAGGCAGCCGACACCAACTAGGTTCCTGGAGAACGAGGGGATATGCAGACCTGTAAGAGAGCCCGAAGGAACCGCCGGACAGGGAAGGGTGGTGGAACTGCGGGCGACTACCGGACCGCCGGAGGGGTCAGCAAGAGAAACGGCAGCAGGAACAGGAAGTGGCGTCAGGGTGGTGGAGTCGCGGAAGAAACACTGAGAGGCGCCAGAGTCCAAGGTGAAGGAAAGCAAAGCCGAGGGGTCTGGCGACGGAACGACGGCAGAAGCACCAAGACTACACAAAGCAGGGGATCCTACGCCTGACCCAGCAGGGGAGGCTAAGCTACGCACACCTACACTAGGCAACAGTGAGTAATAAGCGGGAAGCACACTAGAGTCATCAGCATACGTCACATGCAGAGCAGAAACAATGGCATCCATGTCCATATCAAAGATCTGAATCTGACGACTAAGTAAACTGTGCCAGTCCGGGAGGTCTGGCGACGGGTCGAAGCGCTGACGAAAGAGGTCGTCCAGGCGACGAAAACAGCGGGGAGTGGAGTGTCCGATCTTACCGCAAACGAAGCCGCGGCGAGGACCGGTCTGGATCTGGTACTGACAACGCCCGCCGGCAGAGCCACCACGCGGCACACCACCACGCGCCCGTCCACCTCCAGCGCCGGGCCACCCTGGCGGGAGAACACTCGTCTGCCGTGTCTGCGACGGCTGCTGCGGCTGCTGCGAAGGCTGCGACTGCGGCGGCTGCTGCGGCTGCTGCGACTGCAGGGGCGGCGACTCAGCTGGACGGGGCAGGGTCCCCTCGTCCGCTCCAGCACCAGGCGACCCGACCCCACCACTACCCCCGCCCGCACCCCCGCCGCCCCCTCCGCCGCGCCCAGCCTTGGGGCGGCGGCCCTTCCCAGAGCGAAACTGCGCTGCAGCAGCAGTCTCAGCCACTGCGGCAGAGCCGTCGGAGAAGGTGCACTGAGCGGGGGCACAACCCTGAAAGA